TGGCTGGCACCATGACCTCTGGGATGTGAAAGCATGACGGAGAGAACAGGGTGAGGAACCAGTCCTATGGCTTGGTTCCAGACCCAGGTTTACCACTTTCTTGCTCTGTCACTTCAGGCATTTCCTTAACTTCTCTGCATCTTTTTTTCACATAATCTATAAATCTACATAATTAAGGAAATTTTTTGTTTGTGAAGATACACAAGATCGCATAGATGAATGTGCCTAGCATGGTGCCTGGCTCAACAGTAGTCCTTTCTTCCTCTGAGCTGTTGTCCCATCTGCAAGGCCCTTCGTGGGGTAGAAATCATGTGTGGAAGGCCAGCGTGGACACCACTACAGGTGGCCATGCCAGAAAACACAGTAGAATACCCTGCTCCTGACAGTTGGAGACTGAGTCTGGCATCTTCCCTCTAGCTAGTCTGCTAGTCCATTTCCCTCTGTCAGGCTATGTGGACCGCCTAAGGGTGAGATGCCCCCCCCCCTCCCCGCCCTGCCGCCAACCCCCTACCCCTCTACCCCCTCCCGCCCCCCCTGCTGAGAGCAAACAGTGGGCCTGCCAGGCACTACCCAGCCTTTGAAACCACAAGAACCTGGACCTAAGGACACAGTTGACTGACCTGACTACCATATTCACCAACCTGAAATCCTCCATTTGCAAAGAAAACCCAGAATCCCTATGAGTTCCCTCAGCCTCAGGCAAGCCCAAGTGGGCTTCTCAGGTTATTATGTCACCTCTTTTCATTTTTTTAGACCAGTTTTGTCAGCGTTCATCTCCTCCCTCATGAAAGCCTTTTCATTTGCAGAATTCTTTTTGAAGACCTAGGGAAACTGAATTTGGGACCTCTGCCATGTTTGCCCTTCCTGTTTTCCTTTGCTCATTTTCTCTCTGTTCTACCACAGTGAGAGAATTTAAAAAGAAAGTATGTGGTGACAAAGCAGAAAATAAAGGAGGAGAGAGCACAGGAGGTGTCCAGGGCTGAGGGTGAGGCTGCAGGACCTGCCCTTGGCTTCTGAGTCCAGGTGACCCAGGCCAATGCATGTGTTTCCTCACATATTCCCGGCCTCTTAAAGTCCACAAGAGGTGCCTGTGGGGACCTTACTTTCATCTCAACCCAGATGTTTAAACACATCCCTGATATTCTGCCTCCACCTACTTTCCTTAAGTCCTTACAGGCTCTAGGCTGGGTCACGTGGCTCTAAGAACCAGTCCCCCCACCGCTGCCCCAAACTGTGACGGGAGAGCTAAGGCCCGGATTTCCTCTAACGTGTCTTGTGGAAAGAGATGCCTCCAAAGGCAGCAGAGGATGGTGGGAAAACTTTGCTCTACTCCTGGAGGTACAAATGCTACCTATCTCAAGCCTAAAGAAATCTTTAGAAGGTTTTGTTTTTATTTTTGTACCTGGTATTGTCGTGACATAGCTGGTGGCCTTCAGATAGGGCCTTCAGTGAAGTCGGGGGCAAACCCAATCGCTGGTTGGGAGGGCCATGCCTGTGATTGCGGTTAAGACCCATCTCTGATAAGGTCTCAGAAAGACTGAGCCTGACCAGTGACAAGGCAGGAAAGGCGTGCCGGGTAGACTCACATAACCAACCTCTCTTTTCCAAAGGGAAGGGTACAGCGGTAGGGCATTCATTTTCATAACTGCTTTTCTCATGCATGGTGTGTGAGGTACATGGAGTGGGGAGAAGGAGAGAGATGAGGGACTGAAGCAAATGGAAGGCTTCATAGGACCAGGGTCAGGAGAGCAGAGGTTTAGGTAAACAGGAGACAGCAGAGATAATAGGGGAACAGAAGAATCCGGAAGTTAAGAAAGATTTAAAAAGGAGAAAGATGTGTGAAAATTCAGAAGTTAGCTCTTAAGATAAGATGAAGAGGCCAGTCGAGGAGGGGCAGTTGATAACCAGTGTTGATAAAATGAAACCAACTGCTATTTCTATTTGAAAACAAACATGTTTTATGTGTTGGAAATCCTAGCACAGGAGGGCCCATCTAGGGCCAAGTTTCTGGACACTTGCCTGCTGGATCCTCTCGCTGTCAAAACTTAGCCTTCCTGGGTCTCACTATTGAATAACCTTGGGCTATCATGGGTTAATGAGTGAAGCAAATCTATTCCACTTTGCCGATGGATGAATATGTCACCTATCTGAGAAAATTAGCTATTAATAGCCACTTTTGGGCTGTTTGAGAACTGCTGATTTATTTAATATCTCTGGGTCTCCATTTGCTTATATGAAAGGAGATGGACTTAATAATACGTGAGAACGAGGTGGTATTTGAGTGGGGCTGCAGAGTGGAAATGGAAGGGGAGGGCTCCAGGGCACCATACATACAAGGTGGGAGAGGAGGAAGGGTGTCTGAAGGAAATGAATGTAGCGACAAAATTGCCTGATAGACTGCAGGCTGAGCGGAATGATGGTTGCATCCTCAAGGGGTAAAGAAGAGCCATGCAACATGTCCCAGAGGAGCCCGGACTTCCTATTATGTTTATTAATCATCTTGATGAAAATGGAAAGTCTGCATTGATTAAATTCACTAATGATCCTAAACTGAGCAGGGGAGTAAATTCCAGAAACGATGGATTTGTAAGGTGAGTGGTAATATTAATCAGCTCATCTTATGAAAAGGGTGGCAGTAAATGAAATGGGATTTGCCATAGATAATGGCAGTGAGGTATACCTGGGGGGGAATTATAATGAGGCTAGTTCTGAACTAGGAAGCTGTTATTTGGGAAATAATAATGGGAGGAAAGCTCTAAAGTGGAGAGTGAATAATTAATTAAAAACAAGCTTAAAATAAATTCTCATTATGGATCACAATTTCACTCTCAGCACTTCTGTGGTGGGCTGAGGGAGTGCAGAAGAATCTTGGGGTGCAGCTTTCACATTTTGAAGGGAAGGAACTGGGAACTGGGACCCAGCGAGGTTAGGCACAGGTCACTAGTCAAGGGTGGCAAACCCAGGCACGCTCATCACCACTCTGTACCCTGCCAGGGTGACAAGAGATCGGCACTCCTAAAACCTACATGTAGCCTGAGAATCCCTCTCAGCACAGCACATGAAGCCAGCCCTGATCCCTTGGCTGGTGAGGTGTTATCTTCTGCCATCAAACATTTGGGTCAGAGAACTAGACATTGACAGAGTCATGGCTGAAACCCAGATTTCCTGATCTGTCGCTTTTGCTCTGTAAGTTCTAAACTGTCTATGGTCAACACTGACCTGAACTTCACGATTCAAACACTCAGAAAGCAGAACCGGCATCTTAGCCAGGGTTCTCATCTTGGTTTCTACTGTGTTGGTTTGAAGTCCTTGGACAGCATGGAAAAAAAAATCTCTGAAGCTCTATGTGCAGTAATGTTCCGGAGACATTCAGAAATATCAATAATTCAGAGCCAATGAGTTTTGTGCCCTTGGAGAATAACGTAGACTTAAAAAAAAGTGACCAAATATAAGTAATGAAAATTAAGCTTCTATCACAGGCATTTGATAAAAAGAATAATCTTGTTAAAAATTTCCTGGGACTGATTAATGTTCTGTTTTGCTCTCGGCAAGCAAAGTGAATCGACTTTGTGCAGAAGAAGCAGTGTGGAGGGAGGTTGTGTGTGTGCTGGGTCTGTGGAGCCAGGTGGGGGCATCAGTCTGGGGAGGAGAAGAGGGTGGGAAGACTGGCCTTGGCACAGTTGGGAAGTAGGTGCACTTTGCCCGATCTTTGTTCCTTTTATCCTTCTTTCTTGTCCCTCTTCCCAGGAAGACTTGTGCTGCTCCTCTGAGTTCCAGTGGGGGAATATGGGGGCCATCCCTCTTTAAGGGTGTGCTGATTGTGTGTCACACAACTCTAGGGGGTGCCATTCCCCTTTGCAAACTCTGCAACTCTGCATGGCCAGCCCCCCTGCAGACTCATAGTCCCTCTGCAGTTCTTAGGCCTTTTCTCACCTCACCCAACCTTCTTTGGAAATCTACCTGATACGTGTCTAATCTGACTCATATCCATGTAATCTAATGGGTCACTGCCCACGAATTTCCTGAAGACCCACCCATTAGCCTAAGTGAATGACTTAAGTGGAAAATTTTACAACAGGCCTGAAAGAAAGCTCTCCTTAAGTACACTCTTCAAATGATCAATGAATACCCCATAGGATGAGTGAGAAATAGCATTCACATGCTTGACCAGCCATAACCACACAGTTAGCTCCCAGGATCTCATCATTGTTTAATTTGTTCAGCACTTTGCGGCTTGCCATAGTCCTGTCACCCCGTGGCCTTCCACAGGCAGCTCTGCCACTTCACGTCTACCACTCACTGGGTATACAGAGTTAAGCAAATTGCCCAAACTTGCAAAGCTACTTTCTCATCTGCAAAATAGGTTTGTTGGTAAGATTCACGGAGGTAATGGGCGTAAAGCATAGAGCAGTGTTTGGCAAACAGCCATCCATAAATGTCACCTGTGATCATTGTTTTTTATTTCATGGTACCCTGTGAGGCAGTGAGGTGGTCATTATGTGTTATGTCCAGGGAACCCAAGCAAAGTCAGAAGGGATTTTTTCCAAGGGCATGCAGTCATCACAGACCACAGCTGGGTGTTCCGTTCCTGCCATCTGGGTACAACTCCCGTGTTCCCTCCACTGTTCCGTGTTCTCATTGATCTCATGCAACACTGAACCACATACGTCCACGTCCTCAGGCTGCCTGGTGGCAGCACACACAAGAGTTAGGTTAGCCGCTTTTTGACTGTCTACTTTGCCATAAAACATCTATGGAAACCCAGTACATCCAGGAAATGACAAACAGGCTGTGAATTTTCTGTCTTGAAGGTGCAAGGCCACACCTCCAGGCTATGGGATCGCTGTCTGAAGCTGAGTGAGCATGGCAGGGGTCAAAAGGGCAGTAGGCTGACAGAAGATGAGGCATTTGGGTCCATGAATGAATGTGTACACTTTCCAGGATTATCGGTGTTAACCATGAGGAACGTCGCTCGCTTTAAAATAAACTAAGAGACTCACCGACATATACTGTTTGGCTCCACTCACTCCATAACCCCGTCTGTCTGCACACAGAGCTCACTGCTGCTCTCACTTGAATGGAATACTTAGAAATATCATCAGTTATCGAGATGAATGTATTCGTTGTCATTTTTTCTGTCTAAATAGGGGAAAAATAGCGTTATAAGAATCTCTGGACATGTAATTTAAGTCATGTCAGCTATCAGAATAGAAGGTTGTACCTAAGTGACATGACTCACTGTTACCTGATCCATTGAAAATCAATAGGACATGCACTGATTCGTTTATTCTAGAAAGTTTCAGTTTGAATGTGTTGGCAGCTACCCTTTGGGGTAAGCGATCTTGTAACCAAAATAAAGAAAAAGTCAATGGTAACATCTAGATGATTTGTGTGGGTCTAGTGATGTTTCCTGATGAACAGACTGGAGTGGCCAGTAGAACGCATAATCCCCCCCTCATCTTGTCCCGCCATATTCTGTAGTCATATTACTAGATAGTATCACTTGATTTCCATGCTCTTCAGCAAGCATCAGCAAACCACAGCGTGTGGGCCTGTCCGGCCTGCTGCCTCTTTTTGTAGGGCCTATAAGCTATGGATGGTTACTGTATCTCTCAATGATGGAAAAATATCAAAAGAGTATCTCATGACACATGAAACTGAAATTTCAGTATCCACAGGTAAAGCTTTACTGGAACACGCCCATGCCTATTTGTTTACATATGTTTCCTATGGCTGCTTCTGTTCCTCAGTGGTAGAGCTGAATAATGGTGATAGAAACCATACAGCTTGCTAAGCCTAAAATATCTGGCCATTTACAGGAAAAAAAAAAAAAAAAAGAAGAGAAAAGAAAAAGAAGAAGAAGAAGTTGTTTGCCATTCCCCAATGTGTAGGAATGTCTCAAGCTGAAGCCATCGGGTGGGCACGTGATAGAGAAGAGAAAAGAGCAGAGTCCTTGAATCTAGGAGGGGCTGAGTTTGAACCCTTTACTCCAAATTACCTGCAAGGCAAATTCCTTGACCTGAGCCTCTGTTTTCTCATCCATAAAATGGGAATAACAACACCCAAGCATGAATTATTGAACTAAATGGAAGTACCTTTGTAATTCCAAGTTTAAGAACGTACTGGGTCAAATCCTATGAAAACTATGAATATTCAACCCATCTTCGATGAGCAAAACCAGCAATGTTAGTTAGTTGAATACAATAATAGGTGCTCAGTAAATGCTAGTTTGCCACAGGAGATTTGGGCCAACGTCTCCAGTGTGACAGCGAGGCTATTTTCTCACAAATGAGCCTTTCTCCGTTCTTCTCTCTACTGCTCAGTGTCCACACCATTCAGCTAATCCTGTAAGCCCCACACCAGAGACGTATCCCCGACACTTGCATCATGCGTTCTTCTGGGTGTGCCCCCCTTGCTCCCCCACCCCACGACCACTGCCTGACGTCTTTTGTGATCTTCGGCTTGGCCTGTTGCCAGAACCACTAACCCCACATGCCTGTGTCCACGTGCCCCCTCCAAGCGCTCCCAGCTTTCATGCTGCTACCACTATTATTCTTTGATTTTGCAGATGCAGCCGCAGTTCTGTACTGAATCGAATTCTAGAGTAGCTTTCAGTGCCTCTGGTGGAGGTTTTAAAAGGAGAAACCAGGGGTGCCTGGGTGGCTCAGTGGGTTAAGCCTCTGCCTTCAGCTCAGGTCATGATCCCAGGGTCCTGGGATCGAGCCCCACATCAGGCTCTCTGCTCGGTGGGGAGCCTGCTTCCTTCTCTCTGCCTGTCTCTCTGCCTGCTTGTGATCTCTGTCAAATAAGTAAATAAAATCTTTAAAAAATTTTAAAAATAAATAAATAAAAGGAGAAACCACTCCTTCCCCCCCTCCTTTCCTTTTAAATCTCAGTCACTCTGGGAAAAGTCCCAGTGTAGGATCTGGACTTATTATCCCAAGGTTGACTTTATGTCCAGACTGACTCAGTTATGGCCACTTGGCTGAAGGAAGGAGCCATGCTCTCTTACGCCTTCTGCCTGGAACCCCCGCCACTCCAAGAGCACTTGGCAGACTGCTGGGGGCCAGGAGCTATTTATTTCTGAGCCTCAGTGAGGGAAACACAGAAATTGAGAGGACAGCTTCAAAGCTGTTGTAGCGATTTGACATGGCCCCAACATCCAAGCCCATGCTTGCTGGGCTTCTCTCTGGGTATATTTGACTTTTCTAGCCTTTCCTTTTTACTGTATTTTACAAAAGAACAATTGGAAATTGAGTTAGAAGTCTAATGAAAAATTAGAAATTAGAATAGAATTTTTTTTAAAAAAAGAAAGCCAGTCTTTCAGCATATAGGTATTTTGGGAAGTGCTGGTTACAGAAGTGGGTCTCCTCTGCTCACCATGCATGTTTCTACTCCCCTTTTCTGATTTTGCCCAATTGGCCCTCAGTAGGGGGTAGCTTGGCCTACCCCCTGTGCCTGCTAAACTAGGCCCCTTGATGGCAGAGACACTATCTTCCTTATCTTTATACTGCCCACACAGAAACCAGTTTCTAAGTACTGGCTGAATCAAATTGAATGGAGTGGAATTTGCTTTGCCTACTATCAGTAAGAGGCCAGCAGTAATCCTAACTTCCCTACGCTTTGCCAGTTTAGTGACTTTGGGCAAAGGGGCTTAATCTCTTGGCCTCACTTTCCTATGTAATGGGAATGAGGGTGACTTAATGGAGTTACTGGGAGGATGGAATAAATTAGCATAATAAGGCTTGACCCAGAGCTGATGCTTCCTCAACTCTGGCTTGCTTCTCAATTCTTTGTCCCTTCAACTTTTTGTTCCTTAGTGCTAACAAGTATATTTCAGTTGCAGTGAAAGACAGAAAACATAATATTTACCATCTTAACTCTGGCAGTGAGTACATTCACCTTGTTGTGCAACCATTTCCAGCACTCTTGGACCCTCTGATACCGAAACTCTACTCATGAAAAACAGCCCCCACACCCCACTCCTCCCAGCTCTTAGAAACCACCATTCTACTTTCCGTCTCTCTGCATTTGACTACCCTTGGTATCTCCTGTAAGTGCAGTCCTATAATATTTGTCTTGTTGTGACTGGTTTATTTCACTTAACACGGTGTCCTCAAGGTTCATCCAGGTTGTAGTATGTGTCTGAATCCCCTTCCTTTTTAAGGTCGAACAATAGTGCATTGTACGGATAGACCACATTTTATTGATCCGTTCATCACCGGTAAGTGGACACTCGAGTTGTTTCCTCCTTTTGGCTGCTGTGAATAATGCAGCTATGAACATGGTTGTGCAAATTTCTCTTTGAGATGCTGCTTACTGTTGTTTTGGATGTATACCAAGAAGTGAAATTGTTGGATCCCACAATAATTCTGTTTTTGATTTTTTGAGAAACCGCCATACTGTTTTCCATAGCAGCTGCAACATTTTATATTTGCACCAATAGTAGTGCTCATGAGTTGTTATCTGATCCTTGTGTTATTTTGAACCCAAAGTATGTCCTTTCAACACAGAATGTCAGTAAAGTTTGGTTTATTTTTACAAAACTTGTGTAGATACAAGTTATCTTTGCCCTTGTTAGTTCCAAGTTATAAGCACAGCTGTCACTGAATAGAATTTTTTAAATGTTTCTAAGAGAATGCTATCATTAGATATTGGAATAATCTGAAGAATTACCTGAAAATAATTTTTCCTTGCGTTGTAAATCTTCACTTCATATTCAAAGCAGTGAATTGGAAAGGGAGAAATGGGTTTCTCCCACTGAATAGAAAGATAGGTTCCTTCGATCTCTGCTGTGACATTCATGGGAGGATTAATTCGATCTAGGTTAGAGAATGAAAGGTCAGTGGTCTGGGCTGATAAATTCAATCCACTCATACTCCTCAAGGCATTTCTAAGATACAATCCTCTCAAGTACCTACCCTTGGGATTTAGCTGACTGATCTCCAAGCCCCAAGACCCCAGTGGCTCACTGAAGACTCCTATGTTGTAGTGCTGAAGAGATTTCTACTGGAATCTTAAAGGATTCCTATTCCAAATGCCATTGAATGGTGGGGTCCCTTTCCCCTTCAGCTCACTGCAAGATCCACCTTGCTATCCCTGTTTCTCCTGCAGGACCAGACTGGGTCAACCTCATCCTGGAAAGAAGTTGCTCTGGAGCTTTCCCCTGAGCCCTGCCTCTGCTGAGCCAGGTGTGTGACCCTGGCTAGTAATTTCCTCATTCTGAGCTTCAGTTTTGTTTCATTTTGTTTTGTTTGCCTTCTTTCAAGTTTGTTTGGGGGATGGAGTGGGAAGTTTCAACTTTCTCTTGCATAAAAAGAATGGATTGCACCACATTTGTCTTAATTTACAACTCTATAGTTCTCTTCCCTGACTTACCACTTGATTATCTTGTAGTGATGTGGGTGGAAATCATTTCTAAGTAAGCGTTCTTCTCTTAGGTTATGTAACTTAGATCTCACAATTAATGAATCATAGAGGCAAGCTAAGAATGGGACCTGTTGGTTCCAGAGCCTGCCATTCCCTAAGCAGATAAAAATGTAATCAAGAATGTATTTCTTTTAGTAATGTGAGGAATTTATCTCAAAGAAATGAAAATCACACAGGAAAAAGAATTCCTGTGGTCTGTGTCAGGTTGTGTCCATTTTCATATTAATATTGTTTCCTAGGTCCTCCTCAGCATTTTTTATTACCAGTTTTCAGGAAAGTGACATTTTTAGTTCATTTGAGAAATAGACTATTGAATAGAATTGCATAACCTCTTTAGTGAGATGGTTCTTTAAAAGAAGTTCTATTTCATTTGATAGAGATTTAGATAAATCCTGTCCCTTTAAATAATATTTTATATATTTATAATTATGTATAATTACCAGGCACTGTGCTAAGCACTGTATGGTTATTAACATACTTAATTCTCACAAAAACCTTGCAGGAAGTATTAATTTCTCCCCATTTCTTTCTAATGAGAAGACTGAGGCACAGAGGAATGACCAGCTTGTCTACAGTCCCTCAGCTAGTCAGCAGGGGAGACAAGATCCAAGCCCAGGCAGCCTGACTCCACAGCTCATGCCAGTAAATATGCCACGATTGAAATCTTGAGCATTAGTAATAGGAATGTGACGGGAAAGGCTCCTGACAAGTTTCATTAATACAAGTATCTAGGATGAAGGAGACTATTTCTATTTTGAGAACAGAGCAAATGAAACCTTAATACGGTTAGATCTGAGAATTACATGTTGAATAAGACATTTTCAGATCACCCACAGGAGATAGACCAGAATGGCAAAGGATCCTAAGAGGAAAGCACAAGGAATTGGGAGTGGGAAGCCTGGGGAAGAGAAATCTCAGGATAAGAAAGCTGGCTGTCTTTGGCTAGCTCTAAGACCATCTTGGGATGGAGATGAGAATTATTTGGAGGTGGTACCAGTCCATCACAGGACCAATGGGCAAAAACATCGAGTCAGAGCTGAGAAAGGGCTGCTCCCTCCAGCAGTGAGTCACGTGTCTAGCTCAGTGATTCTCACGCGGTAGGGATTCTGTCCCACATGGGACATTTAGAAATACTGGGAAACATTTTGTTGTCACAGCTTGTGGGGGAGGATGCTGGTCTAGTAGGTAGAGACCAAGGATGTTGCTCCAAATCCTGCAAGGCACAGGTCAGCTCCTGCGAGACAGGTACCCGACCAGGAATATCGGTGGTGCTGAGGTTGAGAAAGCTGGTCCCTGTGATTGTCAGGTAGGGGACAGATGGTCACTTAGTATTGGAAAATTAGTCAAACTAGGTGATCTTGAGAACGCCATCTAATGCTGAGATTTGGTTATCTCAGCTCGGAGTTAAGTCTACCTTACCAATTGCATGCAGAGCAAACAGCTGATCAAAAGGCTTGATTGTGGCACATTGGCTAGAGCCATTAGCATGCACCGCCAGCAAGTCACTCCCTCTGCTTCTGATAAAAGTCCTTGGAAACCAGCACGCGATGTTTCTCTTCAGTGTGTCTTTCTTGTACTCCCGGCATTCTTCGGTCGAGGAACCATACCTAAATGGCAACACTCATAAGTGGTTAAGACGAGAGGAAAAAATGCATTTGCATAAGTAAAAATAGGTACTCACCTATAGTAGAGGAAATATTGGGTATCCTTGGGGGCATCCTTGCCAACGAGCCAGGTACAGTAAAGAGAAACTTGGTATGGCCTTAACGGATTAGAGTTATTTAATGTGGTCGTTGTAGTACACGTTAAATTCACAATTGAGGTTCCAGGAGACCCTGGATAGTCAATAAGAGGGTCAAAAATAAGAATAAAACATTGCCATGACAGCTCTTAAATTTTGTCCTTTCTCTGAAACTGTAGTGATTGGGAACATCTTACCATGAAAAAAAGTAATCGTTACCACAAGTTTTATAGAAACCTACTGGCAAATGGCCAGATTACTAGGCGATGAAGCTAGGATTCCAAAGCCTGAGTTTCTGGCATTAAACTTTCTGGCTACTTTAGGCTAAGGAGGTGTGCATGTGGGATTTCATATTTGTATGAAACTTTAAGAGCAGTGCAAGAGGTTGTTATTCAGGGCTTGGGGCCCAGGAACTTTGATATCCTAATGCCACATTTTTCATTTATTTATTTATTTATTTATTTATTTGACAGAGATCACAAGTAGGCAGAGAGGCAGGCAGAGAGAGAGAGGGAGAAGCTGGGGTTCCATCTCAGGACCCTGAGATCATGACCTGAGCCGAAGGCAGAGGCTTAACCCACTGAGCCCCCCAGGAACGCCTAATGCCACATTTTTCTATAATGAGCTGTGACACCTTGAAGCCCACTCTCCTGGACCTCAGCTTTTCCAGCTGTAAACAGGAGAGTTGGCAGAGAAAGGTCTCCAGCACTGCTTTCCATCCTAGAAATATGTGATTCATTAGGTCACACCCAAATGGGTCCTGAATAACAGAGATTGCTGCTCCGAGGGAAGTGGGTGCTGGCAGCACCAAAAAAATAACAATACTTCGTCCTGCACCTTGGGGGCTCAGTGGGTTAAGCATCTGTCTTTGGCTCAGGTTATGATCCCAGGGTCCTGTGATGGAACCCCACATCAGGCCCCCTGCTCAGTGGGGAGTCTGCTTCTCCCTCTCCCCACCCCTGCTCTTGCTCTCTCGCTGTCTCTGCTGCTATCTCTGTCTGTCTCAAATAAATACCTAAAATATTTAAAAAACAAAAATAAAACATTCCCTTGGAGAGTCTATGCACACTAGTCTGTTGAAGTCAGCTTTACTGTGCAAAGATATTAAAGAATCATGCAATTTTTCACCAAACGTATTATGTTCACTTCACCCAGAATTTGTGAAGATTTGACTGGAAAGCCTTGTTTCCGTTTCATACCACATTGTCACCATGTTAACTAGGGCTCTCTTCTGAACACATGTGGTGAAACTGGCCTTGTGGATGCTCATAGGAGGGGAAAAACACTGCGCTGAGGGACAGGGAGGACCTCATCAAAGTGGGAGCCCTTAGATTGAGTCTCAAATGATAGATGAGGTCTTTTTAGCTTAGTTTAAGTCAATTCTGTGATCATATTTATCACTGTCAGCCAGTGTAGTTCAAAGCAGAGAAGAAGACAGGCTCCTCTTGTCTGCAGAGAAGTTGGACAAAAGGGACACTAGCTACTTTGTGTTATTACCATGTACTGCCAGATAGGTTTTTTCTGTATATTCAAATATGACAAAGGTACATAGACTTAACGTGTATGCCTTGTACTCAGTGTGCTGTTGCACACCCAAATATAGTTTGGAGTCTCCTGTTATCTGTTTGTCTCCCACCTCTCTTCCAAGGAATTATTTGGTATAAATTCGGTTTGATTCAAGGGAGAGTTAATTTTTCATTCATGTCCCCATATGTTGGCATGCTCAGAGAATAATTAGAATTGCGGACATGTGATTCTGAGGTGGCCACACAGAGGTCTGTATTTGTGACCTTGTGTCTGTCTACCTTAGATTAGTCTCTGAACCTTGAATCGAGGCCATTGTGCATTGGCTGCTCCATGGTTTTTGCAGCATGTTCTCATGAGTGAACAGAAAGATGTTCACAGTGCCGCTCTCCATCATTGATACAACTCAGGGGTTGTGTAGCCATTGCATTTAGTGAGGTGACAAGATAATGGTTGGACGATTACCTGTGGGCCAGACGGGCCAAGACAGCTATTACTAGGAACACTCACATGACCTGGGACACAGTGATCCTTCTCTCTTTCCCGTATGTGTGTGTGTGTGTGTGTGTGTGTGTGTGTGTGTGTGGTTTTTCCAAGGGTTTAATCATAGGTATCACTGATTCTACATATCAGAAACCCCAGTTTTCCACAGAGGACAGTATAGACAGTGGCTGCTATCTATCCTCGTTCTTTATGGTGGGTTGTTCAGTGTTGTGGCTTCTGTGAACCATCAGAAGCTTCCTTCAGTTTGCTGTGACACATCCTAGAGTGCAGAGTGGCATAGACAGCACAGGGGGGATCACTCCATCTGGAAGGTTGTATTGCTTGCTCTCCCGGCCCAGTAAAGCATGAGACACCGTCCCTGCTGCCCTCCCACCCCAAGGCTTATATCTAGAGGTGGCAATGTATAAAGCTATTAATTTGTGAAAGATAGAGGCATATGTGCCAAATGAGTAACACAGCCCATGAATGGGTTTTGAGGAGGAAGAGCCTTCTTCGGTGTATAGGATGAAAAGTAAAAGGGCTTTATAAAGGAGGTCCAATTTGATTTGGGCTTTGAAGTATGGGAAGGATTCAGAAAAGTAGGCAGAGGGGAATCCAAGAAAGCAAAGTCTCTGAGGGAAGAAAAAGCTGCTCCAGAAGAGGGGGTGCGGGGGCAGAGTCCACGTTAGAAATCTGTCTGAGAAAAGCAGAGGAATCGTGTTGGGTATGGTTGGAAAATGTCTTACAGCCCAATTATGAAAGACCTCATTGGCTGTGATTTTGCCGATGACCCTGTGACGTGGGAGCAGGGAAGTGAGACGTGCGAGCTGTGTGCAGGGGTGCACCAGATGGAATGGGGTGGGTTATGACTTAGGAGGAACTGCCGACTGACTATGGAAAAGAAAAGCCAATTACTTTTCCAGCTTTGCCTGATCTGCAAAGTAGGAATACAATGTGAGGCTGTTAGGCACCGTCTTACCCAGTGGGGCTTTAAGCTCCGCAGAAACCCAGTTGCTTGCGAGGAGGGAGTGGCCATCCCACGGAATGGTCTGCACACTGGCTGAAAAGCCTTGATGAAGAATGGTTATGCGTTTGCTTTCAGTGTTTCTGGTTTCATACTAAAAATAAACTCCACAAGTCATGATACAGAAAAGGGAAAGAGCATTAAAAGAGTTATTTTAATCTGATAGGCATTTTCTTCCACTCTTTAAATGGCACGTAAATAAAAGGCAATGAACTAGTTTGGATAGAAAAAAACTTAAGCACGTGATTTCACAGGTACATATCTGCTTATCCCCAAACTCATCAAGTTAGGTAAATACATACAGCTTTTTATACACCATTCATACCACAACAAAGTTGATTTTTAAAAAATGAACAAGTAAATAAATGACCCAATTCTAGCATTTGGGTGTTAAAAAAAAAAAAGTACAATAATATATAATGATTTATCAGTGATAGATGAACACATTCCTATAAAAACAAACAAAATAGGGACACCTGGGTGGCTCAGTTGGTTAAGCAGCTGCCTTTGGCTCAGGTCATGATCCCAGCATCCTGGGATCGGGTCCCACATCAGGCTCCTTGCTCTGCAGGGAGCCTGCTTCTCCCTCTGCCTCTGCCTGCCATTCTGTCTGCCTGTGCTCGCTCTCTCTCCCTCTCTCTCTCTGACAAATAAATAAATAAAATCTTTAAAAAAAACAAACAAACAAAATACTATGATTAGGGCTCACATTCACCTCAGCCATCTCTCTAGTCCCAGTCTCTTCCCCAGAGGATACTTTCTAAGGGAAAATTCTCTAGAATTCCATATTGAAAGCAAAAACAGCTAATACTGGGGCACCTGGGTGGCATAGTTAGTTAAGCCTCTGCCTTTGGCTCAGGTCATCATCTCAGGGTCCTGGGATCAAGCCCCATGTCAGACTCCCTGCTCAGTAGGGAGCCTCTTCACCTTCTCCCTCTGCTCCTCCTCTCCTGATTGTGCTTTTGCTCTCTTGCTCTCTCTCTCTCTCTCTCAAATAAACAAAATCTTAAAAAAAAAAAAAAAAGCTAATACTAATTGCATCTTCCTTCATCTTATTTTACTACACATGTCCTAAGTATTGGGTGCTTTAACATAATCCCTTCTGTGGGATACGGCAAAGCCCTGTCTCTGAGATGTGTAGTGACTGGCCCAAGGTTGCCAAGACAGGAAGTGGTGGACCCTGGATTTGAACTTTGCTTCTCTGGCTAGGCCTCCAGCCACTTCCCATTTTACTCCACTGCTCTCTTCCCTATCTTCTTCTCTTTGCCTATTTTCAAGTATCAAATCTGCATATTTTCAAGTATCAAATCTTGCTTTTCTTGGTGAAAGAATCGGGGAAAAGTTAGAAAGTTTGTGCTGCTGTGGAATGCCTAGCAACATGCATGGCAATAGTTCACTGTCGTTTCAACAGGCACCCTACTCTACTCAGAGTCTAACAGAAAACCCTTGAGTCCATATTTTTGCGGGGGAGGAGGGTGACTTAAAAGTTCGTTCGCTGGGGAAAAAGTAGTCAGTGTTAAAATGGACTCTGAATAAAGACGACTGTCAGAATAAATACTTACATCTTCTTCTTGCGGAGCATTTATTCTCACGTGATAGCCTAGCTCCACATTCTCTGGCTCTTGATCAGGATTTGGTTCCCAGCGCAAAAGAACTTGGGCTAGACCGATAACGTTGATGGTGAAATTGGTAGGTGGGAGAAGTAAAGCTGTTGGTGAAAAGGAGCCACGTGATCTTTGATTGTATGGAGGTAGCACTTTTAAATTTCCCAAGACCTTCAGGGTGTAGTATAGGATTTTATGAGTATTAGAATGTATAAGATGGAAATAATTTTGAAAAAACAGTTGCTTAAAACTGCTTTTAATTCATTATCTTTCTAACTTTGCCAGGTATTTCCCTGTAGCATATGCAGGTTTTTTTTTTAAACTGAAATATGAATACAATATCATTTATTGTAAATATAGTCTTCAAGCTGAGGGCCATTATCTATAAATCAGCTGGAAAAACTTACTGGTTTGTGGCTAGAATTTGTTTTAATGACATGGAAGGAAATAGGATAGAAAATATCAGGGTGTATGACATATAATGACTATGTTTCATAAACCTCTTTTTTCTACTACATCAATATGTACTTCAATATGTGTATTTGCACTGGTTCTTGAAGTAAAATTAATTTATTTCTCATTATGATTCAAAGTCAAAACAATTTGTGAGCAAAACTACTTAGACCTTAATAGAAAAGAGGGTTTTTTCTTTGAACCACTGTTTTCAAAATAAAAACTTTCCTTTAAATTACAAAATCAATGCCTGCTCATTGTAGGAATTTTGGAAAGCACAGGTGAGCAAAAAGAAAAAGAAAGAAAAATTACCTCTAATCCTGCAATGGAGAATAGTGTTAATATGTGATACATTCATTATTTTCTGCCCTTGGCATATGTTGCTACAACTTTTTAAATTGCTTCCTAAAACTAGGACAATATTGTACACACTATTAGGAAACTGAATTTTATTCACTTACTACTTGGTCGGATATTTCCATTGACCTTTAATTTTGAATAGCCTTGTACAACTCTGCATCCATACCTGCCACATATAGGGCTTGTAGGGCTTTGTCTATAAAACACTGTCCATTATGGTAGCCACTGGCCATATATGGTTATTTAAATGTGAGTTAAACCAAATATTCCTTACCTTAGTTGCATGAGCCATATTTCAAGCACTCTGTGTCGCTTACGTGTAGTGTCTTCTCCATTACAGAATGAGGATATAGAATAGTGTCCTTATCATAGAAAGTTCTCTTAGACAACACTACATACAGATCGTGTGATAATTTTCTTTTTTTAGACTCTGTCCTTATACCAAATCCATAGATTAACAAGTTTCTGAAACAAAACATAGTGGAAGTTTTTTATTCTTTGGTTGTGAGGACTCGTAACCAACCCCTTGCTTGCATGGGAAGCCATTCCACACATGGGCCCCAGCTCCATTCCACAGAGCCCATGCGCCCACACTCCGAATATGATTCCCCATTGACATCAAATGTGCATTCCAGCCAACTTTGTTTTCTTCAAGTACTAGTGTGTTTAAAGAGTTTGGATTCTGATAAGAATAAATATTCTTCTTTTAACAATCCATACATAGTTTTCAAATTGAGGGATATTTTTAGGGGAAAAATAAGGCTATCATTTTTTGTTTTATATATATATATGTATATGTATATATATATATATATATATATATATATATATATATATATATATTTTAAAGAAACACTGCTGAATTTAATAGGTGGTACCTACATTTTTTATCAGGAAGTGAGTCTGCTCTCAGTATCACCATAGCCCACAACAGAATCAGTAATGCAGATGCCATGATAATCCCATCCTACAGAAAACAGAAGGATGAAGATCCAAATCACCACCAGATGCCATTTTTAAGAGAAACTGGAAGCTACCTTTTACTGTAAAATGTAGAACTTTTCCCATTTAACATTATGAACTATCTGTTATGTGCTAAAAATGCAAATATGAACAAATCTTGGGTTTTGTCTTTAAAAAGTGGATCCATAGTCTGAAGGGCAGGATGAAATGTAAATGAATAATCGTAGTCCAGTTAAACACTGTTGCAATAAAGGTGTGAATGGGACACAGTAAGAACCAAGAGATTTTTGAATTGACTCCAGAAGGATTAACTAGAGTTCTTTTTATTTTTCCCCCTAAAGATTTATTTATGTATTTTAGGGGGGAAAAGAGAGAACAGGGGAGAGGGATAGAGAAAAAGGGAGAGAGAGTTCCATGCGGACTTGGGCTAAGCACGGAGCCCAACAACGCAAGGCTCAATCTTATGACCCCAAGATCACAAGCTGACCAATCCCTCAACTGACTGAGCCACCCATGCGTCCCCTAACTAGAGCTCTTGTCACACAAAGGGGAAAGGCAGTCCTCGTGGAATCCACAGCAAGGGCAAAGCCGAAGAACAGAAAATAAGTGGGTGAGTTCGGGTACTGAGCAGGAGACCAGAGCAGATCTTTGAACAGTAAAAATTCTCGGAACTGTTAATCAGATAGCAAATTCTAATTTTAACTAACAAGCATTTAAATATGAGGCAACATGACAAGAAACTTTAAAACAATTTTAATGTGAGGAAGAGACACTTTGTATCACAAAACTTGGAATAAATTTATGACACTTTGAGCTTTGGAGAGGTTAAATATTTTGATGAATCCAAATAGGGCCAGGCCAAAAAAGGAATTAAAAACACAGTTACAGGCCTAAAGAAAATAAACACCGTCTTGCTACCTACTTGAAACAACTGGACAATGAAACAGATTCTAGAGTTGTAACGTTGTGATAAATCAACATGGCAGCCTGGAAAGTGTGGGTGTTAATGTCAGCATCCTGTAGGACACGATGTCAAAGAAGGGAGTGGATGCCTTGTTGGGAATTATCGATTAGAAATCTTGAGGGTTTCCTCTGGAGATACTGAAAGGCATTTTTCATATGGACTGGATTTTAAGGAACAAAGAATTTTAACAGCTTCCCAGTGTTGTGTGCTACCCTGGGTTTTACAAAGCAGTTCTTCCTTTCATCTCTCATGCCTCCTTTTATTCCATGGGTGGCCCACATGGTTATTAGCCAATTGACAATGAAGAAAAAGAGTCTGCAAACTCAAATAATTTTCCAAAGATCAAACATCTAGTAGATAATGGAATTTAGACGTAATCTTGGATCTTCCAACAGCAAAGCCTATGCTCTGTGCTAATTTAAATGACTTCAAGTATTCAGTTTAAAAATTTATTTTTAAAAGGACACCTAGTTGGCTCAGTTGGAAGAGCATGTGACTCTTGGACTCAGGGTCATAAGTTTGAGTCCTACATTGGGTATAATGATTATGTAAAAATACAATATTTTTTAGAAAGTTTATTTAAAAGGACTGGTATTTGCAAATATAATGGTGGCAGAACCACAGAAGATGACTTTTGGCTAAATGGAGAAAAAAATTCTTTTTTTGTTAAATAAATATTTTATTTATTTATTTGACAGAGACATAGCGAGAAAGGGAACACAAGCAGGGGGAGTGGGAGAGGGAGAAGCAGGTTTCCTGCTGAGCAGGGAGCCCGATGCAGGGCTCCATCCCAGGACCCCAGGATCATGACATCAGCCGAAGGGAGACGCTTAAGGACTGAACCACCCAGGCACCCGAATAAAGAAATTTTTAATTATTATTTTTGAGCTTACTATTTAATCAACTTATTACTTTACTTACTACTATCACTCTTAACTTTGTAACGAAATTAGTAAAATATCTCAATATAGAACAAACAGCAATGTCATACAAATCATTCAATTTCTTTTTCAAATAGAGAATTGCTAATCAGAATTGTGCTACTTTTGATAAAAATAATGTTCTCTTACTCTGATCTCACACTGTGTAGAAACAGGACTTTAAAAATGACAAGGACAATAAAAGGTATTTTAATACTTTAAAATTTTTCAACAAGTAAGAATTTTAAGGAGTTACAGGGAAGCATTAGTAATTTGTTGAGAAGCAAAGATACAAAAATAAAACTAAAAAAAAAAACCTTTAACAAGTAACAATAAAGACTGTTTCCTCTGCAAGGTAAGGTCACATCTTTGAAACGTCAGCATTTCCTGAAATGTTATATATGCACTAACTTTGCACTAATTGTCATTAAGAGGAATTCTAGGTCAGAAAAAAAGAAATGCAAGATTGATATTCCCTAGAGACCTGTACTGACTGGCAAAGTAAATAGTACGTTATGACCAAACATGTATTTGTTCTTTGCAGTTAAGTAATTGAAAGATGAAACTGTTGAGTGTCTAAGTGGGGAGATAATTGAATATTTTACATAACCAAGCACCTTCCCCTAGAATTCATTACATATTCCAACATCGTAGCTGCTGAAAAATGGAATTACGTTTTGTATTCAATCACTCAAAATTTTTCCGATGATGATTATTATTATTTTGGGGGGGCTATTAAACAGCCATACCCTTTTTTTTCTCATCTCATTGCGATATTTTCCATTCAAAAAGGTGATACAACAAAATTAGATGTCCTACAGACAACACAAGACGCTCAAATAGAAGTCAAAATATTAGTGAGAATGGCAATTTTTTTGTGAGCCAGCTAAATTCCCCCCAAGACTGGGTATTACTGGAGCTTTGGCAGTTGACCCGGGTTTTCCGTAATCCTGTTCATTCTCTGTTCTGTTCCCTGAAAGCTCCTCCAGCCTTTGTCCGTGATCCCTTATTATTTCTGGTCTCAGGCATAGCAATTACCACTGCTGGAAAAACAACCCAAATCTCTCCAGGCCATGTCTTTAATCCAAAGGCTTATTGTTAAATAGATGTCAGCTGGGCAACCTTTCACTGCAGAAATATAGAGCTACCTCTCTAACTTAAAAAAATATATATCAAAATGGCAATATGATCAACTACTTATGGCTACCGATTAAAATCCACCAGAAAGCTATCAAGTTGTTAAAATAACATTCAAATTAAGCAGAATGAAGCAAACTTGGACTTAATTACAATAATCACGAGTACAAACTCGGTCTTCTTAGAGATATCATAGGTTACTTGTTCCTGTGACATTTCACCGAGTCTACCTAAAATTCCTCGAGTGCCTTCTAAGAATCTGCCTTCTGATAAGTGTTCTATTGGAAATTTGGGAGAAAACAGGAGCACAACCTCTTGCACTACAGATGTTTGTAGAAAGTTGGGTAAAGTTTTGGCAATTGACAATGGATTTCCCCAGTGTTCCTAAGAATTGGTCAAATTCTACAGAAGTTCAGACTTAAGAATATTTTCCCCTCTTTTTTTCTTCTCAACTTATTATTATTGTTTTTTTTTTTTTTTTTTTTTTGCCTGGGGCATTTGTTTTATAACCAAAGTTGTATATGCAACCCTGTTTTTAGAGCATTTTTGAGTCACTTGTGGTGACATCTAATTCCAGATTCAACCTCAGTGCACAGAAATTGAAAAGCAACAGGGAGGATTCATGCTCTGTTAGGCTCTTAAAAGTAAAGAGTTTACTTTTTTACTTCCTCTTTTTGTCCCTGTACAGTGTAATCAGCAATAAAACTCATCTCTTGAGCGATGAAAAATAAATAACCCAAGGTGTACAATGCAAAGGACACATTTAACATTTAGGTATATTGCATTACTCCCCAAATGAAAACCCGTGCAGGCTTCCTAAAAATATAAATGAGTGATAAGGACTGCATATAATGCATGCAGTTTTTTTCTTCTTATTCCTAGATTTTGGTCAATTTTTTGAAATAGTCATAAAATATAAGTCATGGGTTCAAATTGTTGCCCTATACATTCATAAACAATCTTTAGCCAAGGTAGGAATGGTGCTCCCTTGGGAAAATGAAGGAAGAAGGACTTTGATGCTAATCTCCTAACAGTGGTTAAATATCTCCCAGCTAATCCCATGTGGTATGATTTGCCATCCCGCATCCCTGCTCCCCCACTCCTGGCCATACCTGCCTCTGGTGATCCTCTTGTTTCCAACAACCGTGCTCAATAGCAGAGGGCCAGGACTAGATCCATCCTGTCCGTGCGTTTGGCTGCAGACCCAGCACCTAGCACAGCATCAGGCACAGGGCAGATGCTTAAAGTGCCTGGTCCTGTAAACAATAGAGGCAAATTAATACTCTACCAAGTCAGTAGGCTAAAACCTAGCCTGGGGAAAAATAGATCAGAGCGCAGGAGGCTGGGAGTATGTTAACAAGCCTG